ATATTTGACTTTTTTAGACTAAATCATGTAACTCCTAATCTAACTAAAAATTTCATTGTTGCATGAGAACGGGTACCTGCTTTATTCATAAAAATGTGTGCTTCACACAGGAAGTTTAAAAGAATTATTGGTATTTTGGACTATTCATTGATGTTTGGAAAAATTGGATTTTGAAATACCTCCAGAAAGAATTAGTTATGCCCTCCAAAATTTAGAAAACAAACTAGTATTTAAATAATACCTTATTAATAATTTATAAAATTCTTTTTTCTTCTGGCTCATTTCATTGAGCATAATTCCTTCTAGCTCCATTGACATTGCTGTGAATGACATGAGTTTATCTCTTTTGATTGCTGAACAATATTCCATTGTGTATATATATCACATCTTCTTGATCCAGTCATCTATTTTTGGGCATTTGGGTTGTTTCTAGGTTTTACCTATTGTCAATAGTGCTGCAGTAAACATAGGGGTGAAGGTTTTCTTTTGAATCAATGTTTTTGTGTCATCGGATGGTTTCACTTATAGCAGGAATATAGAGGAACCAAGTAAGACATCAGTGTAAAAAAAATAATAGTACAAAACACAACAAAGCAAAACAGACAATTATAAATCGGAGAAGTCCTGCAGGGGAGGAGGAGGGAGAGGGATCAGAGGGAGGGAGGGAGGGAGGAGCACAGGGGACTGGGGTGATGGTGCACGGGTGCATTGGGGAAGGAAATTCTATGGGTACTACACCTGAGGAGGTGGAGGGAAGCAAATAGTATTTAAAAATTAACAATGATGTAAAAAAAATTAAAAATAATTTTCATTAAAAAATGAATTGCTAATAAATATAAAGAAAAAAGTGATTAATAGTATAATAATTCTCATTGAAAGAAAAAGCAATGAGTAGAAATAGAAGTAAAAAGAATACATATTCATACACATGCTTTTTCACCCAATGCCTAATAAATCAAATAAAACAAAAAAATGACCAAATAAGCAAGAGGTGAAAATGTCCTGCTACAATCATTAAAGCATAGAATTCAAGATGTAACTGACTAAATGTCTTTTAGGAACTGTAATTCAACATACATAGAAATGATTGATGCTTTTAAAAATTCCAAAACTTACATAGCTGTGTACACAAAAATTTGGAGAGTATATGCGATAAACAAAACCCCAAATTTAACAACCAGTTAAGTAAAACAATAGTGCATTATTGCTGAAACTAGGGTTGACTAGTATAATTAAACAAGAATCTTATTCTTGGACATAATCATATCAAGGAAATAGTCTTATATCCATAAAGGATATTGGGAGTATGCCTAAATCCTCCATGAAGTTTTATGGGAAAAAAAAAAACAAAACACTTCCTTTGGCAGAATAATATGAAAAGTAAAGTTGCTTAAGTCAAAAAATTGAGTTAAAATAAGCAGACTAAAGTTCTAACACATGCATATTTCATATAACATATTCACAATTAGTATTTTCTTTAGGGGGATATCGCTTGGTTTTTACTATCCAGTTTTTCTATGGAGTGTATATTACATTGCGTTTCAGCCAGTATTTATTGGAAAAAGATATGTACATTCCCAAGCATCACATTAGAAATGAGCATGTGAGGCATAAAAATCTCAATATTTTAAATGCAATTTGTAGAATCTCAACATCAAATGATGATGTTTGGAAAAAATTTCAAGTACCAACAAAAGTGATAGAAATATAAAATATACCACAGTACACTTAGAGAGGAAATTTTATCATTGGTAAAGGAATTGTCTGTTTAACAATTATAGAACTTACTTCATAATCAGATAAGAATTATTTAAAAATAATTTCATCATAACTTGGTTATTTTTCATATATATTAGCATTAACCTCTATTTTAGTTATTAGGAAATCTACCAGGGGTCTTGCATTGACATGGCAATTTTTTTATTGTTCCTTTTTAAATTAATCCATATATGTATGGCAATGCATATGTATGTCTGATGCATGTGTGTTTGCTTACATAACACAGATATAAACTCATAGATATAAACTCATACTAATGAAATGCTTTCTGTGGGGGATCATGGGCACTCATTGAAAAGATAGATAATTAAACATTTCTGTTTTTACTTTTTTATAATAATGAATTAAGATGAAAGAAAAAAAGCACAAAAGCTAAATTTTAATTAAAAATTGGAACTTTGCATGCGTTTATTCTATTTTGATTGCTGAGTAATATTCCATTGTATACATACATATACCATATCTTCTTGATCCATTCATCTATTTTTGGGAATTTGGGCTGTTTCCAAAGCTTAGCTATTGTAAATACTGCTATAAACATAGGGATGCAGGTGCTCTTTTGAATTAATATTTCTGTGTCATTTGGTTAAATACCTAGGAGTAGAATTGCTGGGTCATATGGAACCTCTATCTTTAGTAGGTTGAGGAATCTCCACACAGCTTTCCATAGTGCTTGGACCAGTTTGCACTCCCACCAGCAGTGCAGGAGAGTTCCTTTTCCTCCACATCCCCATCAACATTTGTTGTTGCTAGTTTTCAACATGGATGGAGCTGGAAGGGATCATGCTCAGCAAAATAAGCCAGAAAGAAAAAGAAAAATACCGGATGGTCTCACTCATAGCAGGTATTTAGAAAACTTAAATAAGGGACCAGAAAAAAGAATAACTATAATATGCTCCCCTCAGCAGTGTATTTCAGTCTGCCTGTTCTACTCCCCACTCTGTCTCTGGTGAATTCTCTTACCCTCCCGCACATCTGGATTATACCCCGTTTCTTATATGCATAAATAATAAATGAAATCTAAAAAAAAAAAAAAACCAAAAACCTGGGGGAATCTGAATAATATTGGTGTATTGTTATCAATGCCAATATACTGGTTGTTATATTGTTTCACAGCTTTGTGAAATGATGCCACTGGGGCAAACCATGTGAAGGATTCACAAGATTGCTCTGAATTACTCTACAGCTATTTCAATAAAACTTGCAATTAAAAAAAAAGAATAACTATAATAAAGAAATTAAAAAAAAGAAAAAATCAAAATCAACAAGCAACTATAAACCAGAGACACACTACAGGGAAGGGGAGGTCAGTGGAGAGAGGAGAGATTGGGGTCAAAATAAGGGGGGGTGCAATTGTATGGGGAATATAACCAAGATGAAAGTGCATATGTTGTGCAAAAATGAAAAATGATGTAAGAAATATATAAAATAAAAAATAAATATATATAAAAAATTGGAACTTTTCATTAACATTATAATCATATATGTAAAAGAATGAATTTCAGAATTTTGAAAACAGAACTTTAAATGCACTCATTTTGGTTACATTCAAATGAATAAAAAGCTACACTTATTCTTTGCAATATATTAAAGTCAGTATTATATATGCAGTAGTTCCTGTTATGTTAATTTTGATCCAGAATTCTTAAAAAATATATACAAAGAGGGTATTTTTTCAAAATTATATTACCTCAATATTTATTGTTGCTTAATAAAAATCACTGAGAACTGAGAAGGAATTGCTTGAGAAAGTCAAACAGACCTATAGAAAAGCTCAACAATCTTTAAAATTAAAGATTTTCCAACCATTGCCAATTATAATTTGAGCTTTTAATCTAAGTTCACATTGTATTTGCATTTCAGATTACATATCACATACAATTTATGATGAATCTTATTTCCTCCTATTGTACGTTTAACTAAATCATCATTTAACACTGATGTTGTTATCCCAAACATATATATTTTGAGAAAGAATTTATTAGGTTATTTCCTAACTCTTCTCATTTCTGTATATTTATAAATATATCACACAACCATTTTTCCAAAGAGGGAGAATTTCAGTGACGATTATGTGAGTATTTTGTAAAGGCATGCATTAATGCTTGTGATTTTCCTGATACAAAAGTTGTTAGAGCCTTAAATAAAACATTTTTTATGACCTGCTGTCTGTTCCCTAAGGCAATATAAAAGGATGCAAGGAACACACTATAATGGGCCTTTTATGATTATTCTGCCCATTATACAGTGAATGCTTAAACATTTCTCCAAAGCAAATGCTTGCAGTTAGAATCCTGATGAGTTAAATATCCTTCATTAAGATGAGCACTTACATATTTTCCTTTATGTGAAACTTATAGGTAACCAAACTGCTGAATTATATTTATAAGGAAAAAAAAGAAAAAAAGGGTAAACATATTTTGTATAAAGAAGATAAATAATGTTTCACATAGCTGCTGTTTCACAATTTTGGAAAGTTACTTCATGCCAAGGTCACTGCATATGAAATTATTGGCATCTTTGCTGAAACCCAGCACTTGCACAAAAAAGCAGTAAATCCGTCTAGGAGAATGATTGGGAAGCTAAAGCAGGGATCCAACATCTGTCAAGTAGTTTATGCATCTGGCCTACAGAAGAGGTTTCTTATTTCAAAAAAGGCAGTTTTTGCCAGACTGTATGTGGGAATAAAGATACACCCGTACAACAAATCTTTAAATAGGTGGCAAAGAAATTGAAAGCAAAGTTGCATTTATATTTTTTCCTACAACATACTAAGATACATTTAGGAAAAAGTTTCAACACTAACTGTGCTCACAAAGCATTGTCAATGGACCAGTGTAACAAAGAAGTCAGTCCGTATCTCAGGCAATAAGAAGTTCTGACTTATGCTCAAGAGAATACTTAAGACATGCTCATAAACTAGTATATGACATAATCCCTTCCAAAACATATAATAAGATAGAAGATAAAATTCATAGAGATCATAAAAGCAGAAAATAAAACGTTAAGGGAAATTAAGTATATCCTTATAGAAGGAAATTGGGAAAGAATGGTTTTCAGCACAATATTCGATTGTAAAAATCAATCTAATATGTAAAGAATGGGAGAGGAGGGCTTGATAAGTCACGGGAAATAAATTATGACCCAGAAGACTTAATTGACATGTTCAACCTGTGGATTCCATTCACATTTTTAATAAGCCTTCAATTAAAATATATTGTATGCTCCCTTTGGCAGCACATATACTAAAATTGAAATGATACAGAGAAGATTGGCATGGCTCTGAGCATGGATGACATGTACATTTGTGAAGTCATCGTATTAGAGGAAATAAGAGAAAAAAAAGGTAAAAGAAAAAAATATTTTCAATCACAAAAGAAGGAAATTTGCTGTTCAGTGATGATAATATATAGTACTTAGTACTTATTGTCATATTTAACAAAAACATGGACCAGCTATCATATACCTAGCAAAGCATTAAACATCTAAGACTGGAAGACAGAATCATTAAGGCTAATATAGCTATTTTAGCAAAGAAAACAGATAAAGTATAGACATTGTATCCATCTTTAATATGTCACAGGCTTTAAATCATATATTCCAAGAGATGACACAGAAACTCTAGACTCATTTCTTGATTTTGGGTAATAGTTTTATACTTGTGAGATAGATAGTCATTTATAGAAGTATGAAAATCAAAAGAAAGAAGATTTGGGGACAAGTAGGTAAAAGTTTCTGTGATGGAAATGGAACTGAGATTTAGGAAGATTTAAAAATAAGATTAAAAATTCTTCAAAGATGATATCACTGGGATTTTTAAAACATTGTTAATGCAACTAAGACTATGCAGATATTAGTGATATATAATTTTAAGGAAAATTGAATGGATTTAAAGAATAGTCTATATTTTGGAATTTAGCAACAGTATATAAAGCAAGATTTTCATGTGTAATTTAGAGGGAACAGCAAAACTTTCATTATTTAAGGTAAAATACAAGTTTAAAATATAAATCACTTTTTTTTTCCTTTCAAAAATAGAGGAGTCAGTCCCACTTCAACTCATCTCTTTTGCTAAAAATAAATAAATAAATAAAAAACAATGGGCAAGGGCCTCGCCTGGTGGCGCAGCGGTTGAGCGCTGACTTGCAAAGCTGCCCGCAGCCTCTGCAGCGCAGGTTCGATCCCCGGCCACCAGTGAGGGTCCCACATGGTGTGCAGACCTCTCCTGCCACCTGCTGCTCCCCTCAGCAGTGTATTTCTTCGTCGGTCTGCCTGTTCTGTTCCCCGCTCTGGCTCTGGTGAATTCTCTCACCCTCCCGCGCTTCTGACTGTACCCAGTGCTTATATAAATAAATAAATAAATATTTAAAAAACAAAACAAAACACTGGGCAAAATGCAAAAAAGCTACTACTTGATCATTTTGAAAACACTGAAAAATAATGGGTTGTCAAGATGAGCTAAACTTGAAGATTCAGTGAAGGGGTGTGATTATTCTTTTTTCTTTTCTTTGATTTTTGTCTTATACTTTCACCCACCCTGGGCCTCAAATGAAGAAGAGCAAGCAGATGTGAGATGACTGAGAAACCTAGAGAAACCCCATATCCTGGCTAGAGTAACCTGAAGAGGAGAGAGAGAGAGAGAAGGGAATGACATAATTCTTCCTGTGAAATTTATAAAGTCCCCATCTCCTACTTAATCAGCATATTCACAGGCTCAATCCCAAATAAGGAAGGGTTTGAGGACTGAAATATGTTATAAAGTACAGCTCAACTCACAAATCACACCTGCATGACACATTCATGGACAAATTTGGAGTAGTATATCCAAGTTTTGGAGGACAATACTGATAATTAAACCCCCAAGCAGAGAAAATGTAATACACCTTTGATTTATCTACCTCTGTAGATACAGCAAGATCCCCATCACTTTTCACCAATAAAAAACTCATATATAAATGAATGGATGCATTAATAAATATATGGTTGTCTAAAACTGAATGAAGATGATAGTAAACAAACTTTCATGTGCATTGGAACCATGCTAATAAATGAGTTGTGAAAATAAAGATTGCTAGGACATAGAAACATAGATTCCAGAATTTCTGATTCAGAAAGTCTGAGATTATATCTTATGAATGTACTATTCTGTGTGAACTAATTCCATTTAATCATATGCAGTGTTGAAATCAATGATTTACTTCAATAAAAAAATAGTAGCAGAAGAAAAGAATTTACTTTTCTAGCAAGGCCCCAATCATGGTGATGATCCTGGTTCCTAAACTACAATTGAAGAATGTTTGAGTTATGAGAAATAATCTACTGGCAGTGATGATATCAGATACCAAAGGCAAAAAATAAAAATAAAAATATTAAATAAAATGCTGTGTTAAAAGTTGATTAAAGGGTTGATAATATCCTAAATCATTTAAAATGGCATGGCTTAGAAGAAATGTAACCAAAATATTATTTAAAATATTTACAGTGGGACGTTTTCAATTTTCTTTTTACACATTAATATTTTCTTTTTTTTAATTTCCAATTCTAACAGAAATTAGAAAATGTTTGATTTATACCATATGCCCTTCACCAATTCTTACCATTTTACTTTTGTTCAGAGTTGCTAGCATTTGCTCCTATATCCTTCACTTTCTCTCCCTGCCTCTCATAGTCTATCTTTACATGCACACAGGATATTCTTTTTTGATGAAAGCACATTTTCAGGTATCAGGTTACTAGAACACTTCATTCTTAAATATATCAATATGCATTTCCTAGGACAAAGAACATTGCCCTTCATAACCACAATGAAAACCCCAATATTGATACACCACTGCTTTGTATTATGCACTCCTTTTTCAAATTTCCCGAAGTTTCTCACTTTTTGAAATTATTCTATTAAAATCATGGAAATGCGAAGTTATTCTTCCCATAGAAAGAGCCACTTTGAAGCTGAAGAGAAGCAGAATAATTAATGAATGAAGACTATTATCCCCAATATTTTACAATTCAGCATTTCAAATTATTTCATCTCTATTACCCATTTATATTTGAAAACTATGTTATGAAATTTGCCTTTCTCATAATTGAAAGGGGAATGTACAAGATGAGATAGAGTGAAAAAGCATGATGTTCATTAATAGTAACAATTGCTATGGCAAGATGAAAGTTCTGCAAATATTTTTACCTTTTATAATATTTCAGTAACTTTAAGAACCATTTTGTTTTCCAAAATACTTTATAAAAAAGTGTTTCCAATATATATATAATTGTCTAAGTTAACCTAATAATAATAATAATAGTAAAAATAATAATGCAGGAAATTAAATGTATCATTATTTACATATTCACTATAAGAAAGCAATGAAGAGCTTTGACTTTGAATATTTGGACTTCTGAAATTTAAATGTCATCAAAATGAAACCACAGCAAGTGTTTCTTGAATGTTTCTCCTTTTGCAATGCATGAGTGATTTCCTAATAGTGCCAATTCATAGGTTCATACCTGTTCATATTGTATGAAGAAATGATTAATGATTAATCAAATTATAACAGCTGTCATACTACTTAAGATTGGTATAGAAAATTATACCAATGCCTATGAAATACCAAATAAAATATTTGCTGTAGGCATTGCTGATAACATGTTAAAACTTGTAGAAAAATGCTTCTATTCTAACATTACCATTTGATGCTTAATATATAGGTAAATATTATATCATAAGTAAATGATATAATAGGTAAAAATTATATCATAGATTAATCATAGAGTCATAGGTAAATGTTATATCATAAATTTGTGCATTAATTATACTTTTGTGAACTGGCTGTGCATTCAAGCTCTTGCAAATAGTTCTTATTTATTCAAAAATCATTAGATATATAATAAAGACTTTTTGCTTGTGAAGTTGCTACATTTATGCTCTCCATTTTCTATTTTTTGATATATACTTTCATCTTGCCATTAAATGTTTCATAGCCAAATATAGTCATGGATTTTATTTTTTGATTTATTTGACATGTGTGCTTTGATATACATAATATCCCTAATTTGTAAATGTGTCAGTATTTGAAAGATCAATTCAATAAATAACATCAATTAATGCCTCAAAAAAGGAAAAAGCCCAAAGTATATCAGTGATGATCAAGTAACTATGTTGGATTTAATGGCAAAAACTTTAAACTATTTTAAGTATTTTAAAGCAGAAAATAAAATGTTTATTTTATTCAAATGTGAAAGTAATGACTGAGAATCTCAGTAGAAAAGTGAAATAAAAAAGTGCCAAAGTTGAACTCAAATATCAATAATATAAATTAAAAAATACATGTGTAGACCTAAGTGAAGACTGAACATAGTAGATGAAATTGTTAATGAAGTCTGATTGATATTTATGCAAAACAAAGACCAGTGAACAAACTTGAAGAAAAATAAACTGATCTACAGTGATCTTTGGAACAATGTAAAACAGTACCACAACTGGACTGCAGGAAAGTAGAAGGTGACTGGGGCAGACAGATTTTAAAAGAAAATGACAAATGGGCCTCCCTTGGTGGTGCAGCGGTTGAACGCTGGGCTGCGAGGCTGCCCGAAGCCTCTGTAGCGCCGGTTCGATCCCCGGCCACCAGCGAGTGTCCCACATGTCGCAGACCTTTCCCGCCGCCTGCTGCTCCCCTCTGCAGTGTACTTCGGTCCTTCTGACTGTTCTGCTCCCCGCTCTGGCTCTGGTGAATTCTCTCGCCCTCCCGCGCTTCTGACTGTACCCAGTGCTTGTATAAATAAATAAATTAATTAATAAATCTTTAAAAAAAAAGAAAATGACAAATATCCCATAGTTTTTTGAGAGAACATCAGTTTATATAAACACGAGGTCAACAAACCCTGAGGAAAAAATATACAAAGGAAATATGGCGGGATGGTGAATTGTCATTTTTTTCCCTAATAGTAGACAATTTATCTGTTGAAATAAAGGATAAAAATAATAAAACAATTACAATCAATATAAAAAGTGACAGAATTCAATTCTGATTTATGAATAAAAGAAACAAAACACTCATACCAAGGGATACTAGAAATATTTTCCTCAGTATGGTATTAACTTCATATTTCAGAGTGAATTATTGATGCCTTTCCCCTAAAATTTTATAAATCTCAGGGATACACTACAAACCATAACTCCTCAGAGATCAATAATTCATGTCTGTATTTTGGGGGCTCTGGAAAGTACTATAATTTGAAAAAAAATATCAAGAATGCCACATGCTTATTTAGCCTTTTTATTTCTTACATAAAATATGGAACATTTTGTCAATTATCCCCTTTCTCTAAC